AGTGAGAGCAATAACACCTGCTCCCCCTTCACACCTGAGACTTGTGACACTAATGGGTCTCATGACACCAGGGAGGGAAAACGACTACTTGGGCCCAACTTGAACATTGTTACTTTGGGGTGTACTCACTTTGTTGCCAGCGGTTTAGACATTAATGGCTGTGTGTTGTGTTATTTTGAGGGGACAGCACATTTACACTGTTATACAAGCTGTATACTCACTGCTTTACATTGTAGCCAAGTGTCATTTCTTCAGTGTTGTCACACAAAAAGATATACTAAAATATTTATGAAATGTGAGGGCGTGTACTCACTTCTGTGATATACTGTATAAAGAAAATAAGCATATTTATATGTAACTACTGTATAACAGGATAATGTCCACATAATGTTGAGGATTTACACTGGTGTAAGTATAAATTGTGATGGTGGAATCACACTGATTAACAGGTGGCCACTTACATTCCTGATATGTTTCAATTAAGCAGTTTGGCACACAACCAAGAATGCAAGTGGCCATTTGTTAATTAGCAGCCATTGACCACCATGATTTACACAATTATGCTTAAAATGACAAATATTTTCAGTTGGATTCTGGCTACTGTAATAATGCAGTACTGTTACAATTATGGAACTTGGCTTTGTTTATAATTGTTTATGTGGCTCGGCTACAATACAAAGCACACATACAATAAGTTGCGACTTGAATATAATGGCATTTGTGTCTGAGGAATCATGTAGAATGGCATTGCTAATTTTCAAATTATTTTTTGATATAATTAAAGATTTTAGATGGCTTTAGTATGTCACATTCTAATTTATATCTTAGACAATTCTACATTCGTATTCATGTGGAACCCTATTACGTACTGATTAAGGTGGTAGAACACTAATTTGACATGCAGTTATGATTAAAAGCATGATGTTTGTGATTCTATGCATGGCTGCTTGACAGTAGGCCACCCTGCATTAAGTGTAACTGGTACCCAGTTAAAGGTGCATAGAATTCCTAACCTAATATATTTCAGAGTGATGGTTAAAGGTGCATAGAATTCCTAACCTAATATTTTCAGAGTGATGTTTTTCCTTTTTCTTTTCTTTTCTTTTCTTTTTGCAGCTACATCAAGAGATGAATGAAAAGGAAGAATCTCCTTTTCTTTTCTTTCTTTTTTCTTTTTTGCAGCCACATCAAGAGATGAATGAAAGGGAAGAATCTCAGTCTCTGCTCCAGTAAGAGTAACATAAACATGAAAATAACATGTGGCTTTTCAAAAAGTAATGTATCTGTACTATATACAGTGGTGCCTCGCTTGACAAGGATAATCTGTTCCAGCAAAATCGCTGTAGAACGAAATCAGTTAGCTTTCATAACTAATTGTCAAGCGGGGCACCACTGTAGTTATAGCTGTTTGATACAACTTGCCCTGTCCTGGTTTCTGAGATTTGAAAGTTGATGAAATACTTAAAATCTAAAAAACTCTAGTGTACTCCCCAAAACTACAGAGAGTCTAGGATCCATCCAGAACTGGAGAGTCTATGATCTCACCAGACTACAAATCCTAGAATTCTATAAAATGGAACCAGGATAGTGAAAGTCGTATTAAACTGCTATCACTGTGCAGTGCAGAGAAGCATCAGATTTGTTTCCACCTGTATTACAAACCAGAAGTAACATTCAGTTGAGTGGCAAAGTATTGCAGTCAGAACTAGCTTCTTTAATGACATATAAAAAGAGAGTTCATAGCTCATTTTTACCTGAGGTGAAAAACCAGGTGATGTCACATGCATATTTCATGTACAGGTGCCAACTGCTTTCATAATTGAGGCTAAGATCAAATATTAAGCCAAATGTGAATTTCGTCCTTTTGTAATGTTATCCCTTCAGACATGCAAATATTTCAGTGATGCATATCTGAGATAGCAGTTATTTTGTTTGCATATTTGATATCACCCAACTAACTGACTACAAAACTATAGAAAGCTAATTTGTCAAATGCAAGCAAATGTTAAAATATGCAGGGTTTTCCCTTAAGGATGTACTACTACTAGATATATAATCACTTTCTTGTTTAGTGAGCATTAAAAAAGAGGTCAGGGTTGCACTATGGAAATAAATCAGGGAGAGAGAGGTGTTTAAAGTCACATGGTAGTCACATGATTTTGGTAGCAGTATGTGCATCCTCTTGGGGAAACTTAATCCATTGTTAAACTGCTTTGCACACACAGTGCCTGGGCAAAGCGCGTACACACACATTCACACACGTGCATGCACACGTGCACGCACACATGCATAGAAGAGGAGAGACAGATTTAGAGTGTGTGAGTGCTGGTTTTATCCCTTTATAACATTTTTGCACTGTTTAGTCTTTCCTTGACTAATGGAATAGACTACATGAGATATAGAGACGCATTTTTGCACTGTTTAGTCTTTCCTTGACCAACCATACATGAGATATAGAGACTGTTCTGTCAGCATAGCAGCAGTCTGTCTCTGTTCTTGGCATAATACGAGATTTATACTGTTGATCTGTTATACTGTGATTTTTATTTTTGGCTTACCTTTTGATTAGTATACTTTAAAAATTAGGTTTGAGTTACTGTGAGTATTTTGTATAGAAAAATTGTAAAAATTATTGTGCATATAAGAATTGTCTTGTTGGATCAGTCCAAAAAGCCTTCTGTCAGTAATGCTCAGCTAAAAAGAGAAGTAAGATATTGTGAGGCCGGCTCGAAGAAAGTGTGTGCTGAAAAATAAATGACTCCCAAAGACAGAAGACTTCGCTTTGTTTTGCTCTTTCAGTTTGCTGGGGAGAGACGGAACTCTCTTTTCTGCTGCTGCAGAACCATTTTCCAACAGTAAGATAATAGCCTAGATAATTCAAGGCTACCATACTTTGAGGTTTGGACATATTATGAGAATATAAGACTCACTGAAAAAAGACAATAATGTTGCAGAAAGTAGAAGACAGTAAGAAGGAAAACCAAACATGAGATAGATAGACTTAATTAAGGTATCCATGACCTTTAGTTTGGAATACCTGAGCAGGAAGTTAATGATAGGATTTTTGGAGGTCAGTAATGCATAGGGTCATCATATGTTGGAGGAAACTTGAGGTACAGAACAACAACAACAGTGTGTGAAGGTATCAGTTACAGAGATTAAAATGAGACGGATATTACCCACTGACACAAAATGTTTTACTCTGAAACTGAAAAACTGTTCAAGCCTGTCAGGCAAAATCCAAAGGAACAAAACAAAATGGATAAAAAATGTGTGGCACCTTAAGGACTAACTGTTACATTTTAATGTAAGCTTTCATGGATACATCCACTTTGTCAGACATAAAGACAAAGTGGACGTGTCCATGAAAGCTTATATTAAAATATAATAGACTTTAAAGTGCCCCATGTTTTTGTCCTTTCTTTGTTTTGCTTTGTTTTGTTTCTTTGCATTTGGCCCGAGATGCTTGCACAAGACTAACATGGCTATCTCTTCTGAAAAATTGTTTTCTTCCTAGACCTGGGATAAACTGTCAGATCTTTGCTGGAGACGTTTGCCAGAAGGACCCTCCAGGAGCTACCACTTTACCTGAGGAATGTGACCAATTTATGGGTATGTTTATATAGTACAGAGGAACTTGTTTATATGTTCTGCAGACAATACTGTATTAAAAAGTGGAGAACTATGTAGTAAGAAGGTATGTGGCTTTGGAAACTTTGGTTTCTTATCTTATTTTTCACTGGAAACTGGAGATAGTGCTTTTCAGGCTTAACTAGATTCAACCACAATTGGAGAAATAGTTTGGATTACAGCAGAATGTCCTGCTGTGTAAAGAAATCATGGTTGGTCTCTCTTTGAAGACATAAAGACCCTCAGTTGAGTCCAAACTAGGTGTTCCATAGGAGTTCCATTACTAGAACTCCATGATTTTTTTCTTCCTTTCTTGAAAAGGTAGCGGGGAGGGAGTGATAGCTTTTAGTTATACAAAGGGAAGAAGATCTAATAACTGTGCCAGTGCTGCAGCTCCAATATGAATTTCTGCACTTAGAATTACTGTTAATACTCATGGAGAGGAGGTGTAGAAGCCCTCATAATTGTGCCTGTAAAGGCCAAAATTGACCAAATGCACCATTACATTGAATAATGTGTGAATAAAACCTATGCACATTTTAAAATTACATATAAAGCAGTCATGGGAAACGCTGAGTAGCCATTCCAAAAGAGGTTGTGATGGAGACGGGAAGTTTATTTATTTATTTACCAGTATGTATTTGATTTGTACCCCGCCTATCTGGACCAATGGACCACTCTAGTTCCTTATCTTCTTTCTACATTCTTAACTAAAATTGTCCCTCAAAAGCAGCTGTGAGTATTTAAAGATTACATTACTGCCAACAGAAGCTTCCTTGTAACAGCAAAATCCAGACAGGTGATTTTGTCAGAAACGTGCAAAGAGAAAACAAGTTAACCTTCCGCATCCGTATCCTGCCTTCCACAGTCCAAAAGCTGTTCAGGTTTCTCTGTGTTTACTTAGCAAAAAACAAACAAAAACAAAAGAGAGAGAGATAATCAGTTGCTTTCATGAAAAAAAGATGTTCAGGTTTCTCTGTTTTTACTTAGCAAAAAACAAACAAAAACAAAACAAAGCAAAAGAGAGAGAGGGATAATCAGTTGCTTTCATGAAAATACAGTAATGTCATATCTAGCATAGGCATAAGTGTAAGTCTACAAACTCTGCATGAATAATAGCAGCATCATGATAGTGATGGGCAAGGGTGATTTGTGTTTGCAAATGGCCATGGAAGCAATGCTTCCTGCAGCTGGTACCCTAAATTGCTCCCCAGATTTTTAAATTTTTTTAAAGAAAAGGGAATGATGCAGACTTTCTTCCCTGGTGAACAGGGAAAAGCTGTTTTACAGTAGTTGGTACCCTAAATTGCTCCCCAGATTTTTAATTTTTTTTAAAGAAAAGGGAATAATGCAGACTTTCTCCCCTGGTGAACAGGGAAAAGCTGTTTTAGTTACATTGGCTGAAATCCTATTGGTTAGTATAGTAAGTTGCAGCTAAAGTAGGCCTATTTGAATCAATGGAACTCACCAAATTCCCACTCTAGTGCGACTTGCCGTGCTGAGCAACAAAATTGCAACCATTGGTTCAACCCTCCTCCAGCACTTTCAAGGAGAAAGGGAGGACACAGTGGGGGCAGGCACTAATTTTTTAAAATCTTTCCTTCACCCTTCAAAATCCACCAGATATGTCAGTACAGCTTCAATAGTAACATAATTGAAGTGGACCTCTGCTTGACCTTTCTTTCCCAGAGGCACTCTGGAAATGATACTAGGGTGGTTATTGCAGTGCTTCCTTGTGTGGAGAGTGATAACAGCCAGAAGGTTCTCCCTGTTGCTGCATCACTGATGTTATAGGAAACAAGCCTAAGAATTAAGTTCAGTTGTTGCACTAGGTGAAAAGTTGAAGAGAAACCAAAGTTAGTAGTCTTACCTAGTGAGTAGAGCACATGCTTTTACCATACACAAAGTTCCTTTGTTACATGGTTTAAGACATCCTCTTAGTTTCTTATTCCTGTTATTAGCCACTTCTGATACCAAAGCACCAAAGTCAATCTCACATTTCAAAGCAAGTATAAAGTATTATAAAATACAGTTTTGAATAGTCTTAAATAATTTTTTCTAGGTTTGGATTCAGAAGTAACTGGATTTCTAGAGACAGGAGATGAGCATGTATGTCTGGTAATGTAATAGTTATGTTCACATGCATTACAGCAACTTTTCTTCCTTTCACTTATAGCTTGCATAATTTTTCACTGAAAAGTTTAAAACAGAGTTTATATTTAATTTTGATTTGATTTTAAAAACTTCCCAATAGTTTTGATTGTAAGAAAGAGCTTGATCTTGCTGTTTTTGTGAATATCAGTTAGTGTCGGTTAGCATTCTTGTGAAGCATTATTTCAAGACAATCATAGGGTAGTAATATGCAACAGGTCAGACTTGCCAAGTAATCTGGCAAGTCTTTCATTTAAAGTGAATTAAAGTCATTTACCTTAGCATTTCCAATGGTGAGGCTATACTGAACACAAGAAGCAATTGAAATTTTATCTGAGCATATTTTGGCAGTGTAAAACCTTTTGTAACATTTTACAAAATAGTTCCTTAAAACCACCATTTATGTCTGTGGTTAAAATATTTGCATTGATTTGATTGTTGCCATTTTACAAAGAGGTATAATAGTGGAGAAAGTATCAAACAGAACACATAAAGTTACAGAGTGCGGCCTTTATGAAGAGAATTTAACATACTGAGGTTTTATCATGCTAGTTAGCAAATGTTTTTATCATTTATCATTTTTGTCATTTAACATAGATAGTAAATTATGATGGTGAAGACACTCCCGAAATAAGTCTTCTTTCAAATGTGAATGCATCCGAGGTATCATCAAAGGATTCAGTACGAAAAGATAAAGAAATGGAAGAAGTTTTTGAAAATATCAGGATGACCAGTGATGACAAAGACATGGCAGACGTCATCCCATCTGTGGAAACAATGGTATTTGGTATAACTGAAAATGGAAAGATGGCTGAAAATACTGAAGATAAACACTTAATGGAATTACTCAGTGATTCTGAGACTTTCCAAGTGCTTGACATGTTGGAATATCAAGATGATACTTTTTCTGTGCATATCTGTGTAAGTGAAGAAAACAGTGCCCTGCCAGTAGAGCTTCTCTCAGCACTGAATTCTTTGTCAGAATCTGTGGAAGCATCTACCATTTCTCATCTAGTGGAAGAAGGGAGTGGCCATAGCATGGCAAAGAAAGAGCTGCCAGCAGACAAAAGTGTTAACGATTACACACATGTAAAACAAACAGATTTAAAATCTCAGTTTCATTTGCAAGGCTTCAAAGAAACTGAAGCTTTAACAGCAGTCAGGACACCACATTCTTCAGAGGAACAAGTATGTATGCTTTAAAATTAAAATGCTAGATATATTTAAAACATCTTATGGTCCAGATGACATTTTCTTCTTAATCATATTGGTTGGTTTGTACTGTGGATGGGCACAAACTGCTGAACCAGCGGTTTGTGCTGGCTTGTTTCTCAGCTCAACAGGCGTTCAGCACCTCCCAGCCCTAACTCCTCCAGTGGGTGCCCCACTCAGAGGCAGCACCCTGGCTTTCTTGCCTTGCCTCCTCTGGGCACTGCCTCTGAGTGGGCACCTGCTGGAGGAGGCGGGACTGGGAAACACTGGACATTCTCTGTACATCTTGACAGCAAAATACATATCAGAAGCAGGACTGCCTTAGACTGTACTACTATAGTAGACAGAGCATTTTTAAAATTTCCTGGATGACAAATTCCGTAATTCTGCACTATGGGAGTTCTGCCTGGCAGACAGACACCTGAATATGGCTCATGTGGGGGAAAGGCCTCAGCTAGGAAGGCTTTGAGACTTAGCTAGACCTAACTCGGCCTAGCGATATCCCAGCTAGTATTGGGGAAAGAACAAGAAGCTTGGGTAGATCTAGATCTAGCTAAACCTCAGAGCTTTCCTGTTGAGGCCTTTCTCTTAGGTAAGTCACATTCAGGTATCTGTCAGACAAAACTCCCAGGGGAGTGGGTTATGGGACTTGTACACCAAACAAACCAGAAAGTCTTCTTTCTAAACTTTAGCATGTAGGGGAGGTAGAAATAGTTTGAAGGTTCCGTTTTTTAAAAAATGAAACAAAAGTGAGCCACATTTTCAGCACCTGGATAACCGCGGTACAGTGGCTAAACTGCAGTACTGTACTGCAGCCAAAACTCCGCTCACAACCCAGGTTCAATCCCAGGTAGCCGGCTTGAGGTTAACTGAGCCTTCCATCCTTCAGAATACATGTATCGAGTGTCTTAAATATATTTACTAGTTTTAAATGTAGATCACATTGTTTGAGAATCGTCTTTAAGACTCATGCAGAAATATAGCCTTCCTTCATCAGTTGCTTTTGGTGTTTCTGCTGGGATTTATCTTAAACTTTTCAATACTACATGCTTTCATCCATTCAAATGATGGTTACCTCCAGTTCAGGTAGCAACAAGAAAGGAAGCACTGGTGACTTCCCCCACCTTGGTTTGATTGGGGAATGAGGAACATAGATGCAGAAGACCTCACATATCTGTAACTGACATACAGTAATTTACATATATACTGACAGATCACTGGTTCTGGAAATGTACATAGTTCTGCTGTGCAAAACTGTTTTTCAAACAGGCTTTACTAGTTAATTATGTTGCTTTTAGGTCAAGGAAAATGACATGTCATTAAGTATTACTAGCAACACTGATCAAGATCAGGTAACATGACCAATATTTCCTGTTAAGTGATACTGATAATGACTCTTGATATGGAGAAGTAACTTTTAACAGTGGTATTTACTAGACATATTTCATCAGATCTGTTTTGCCCAATAGGTTGGTTAAAATGGTGGCAGACTCACTGATATGTAGACCTGTGACTTGTGGAATAGGGATGTAAAATTTCCAGAAGCTGAAGTCATGAGAAAAAAAAAACACTCCACTCACTTTTTTCCCCCTCAGGAAAAAAACAACACACACACAGAGGTATTTTTTTGGGGGGGGAGGGAATAGAAATATACACAGTACTTATTTACATATCAAGCCTATATTTATTCTACTATTCAGACTACATAAAATGCTTCATAAAATTGCATTATTTGATATATTTATTAAATTAAAAAATATAAAAGCTTCAGTTTTGTAGAAGGAAAATTGTAATATACCCTGTATTAAAGGGGGAGCTGAAAGCTGCATGCTTCTACCCAGAGATAACAGTATCGGAAAACAGAAATCACAAACAAAATTAAAGTGTATTATTTGGACAGAAGCAGTTTGGTTTCTGCTGAGACATTCTACTGGATGCGGAATTTGAAGTTAAAGCTTTTTGGATTTGGAATTCATAATTTTTAAAATTCAGAATTTCTGGATATGCAGAACTCTTTACAGTCAGTAGGAATTCTAAATAGTCATTATTTTGCCCTTTAAGAAAACAAAATCAAGCAAAACATTTTTAAAGGATGTCCCTCTGTCCTCTGACAACATCCCAGTGATTGTGCTGAAGAAAAAGAGTGCACATTAACAGCCAGAACAACATAGTTTTAGGAAATGACTGTAATGGGCATACTGATGGAACCCTGGATAGTGGGAATACAGTAGGAAATGCCAGCAGAGTTTGGGGAAACAGAACTGATTGTACCAAATACCCTGGGCGGCACTGGCAGGCAGATTGGAGCTGCGGTGGTGGTTGGGAATTGTGCCAAAACAGCATCGGGCACACCACAGTTGAGTGAGTGAGCACAGTCTTGGAGTAGCAATTGGAAGACTGAAAGAGGCAGAAACAGGCGGCAGCAGACTGAAGCATGGCATACCTAGTGAGCAGTGTGCCATTCTCTCTTACTTAAAGGGGACTTCATGGAAGCCTAGCACTGGTAATTTTAAAAGAGGTAGCCATGTTAGCATGTGCATTTCATCCAGTATTTCATTTTTTTCCATATGTCTAAGGAAGTGGACTTCTCCATGAAAGGTCCCATTAAAATATAATAGATAGTCTCTGGGGTGCCACATTTGTTGTCTTTTGTTTTGTTTTGTTTTCCTTGTTTTGTTTCTTTGGATTTTGTCTGATAGCAGTGGCAAGTTCACCTTAAGAAAAACAAATTTTCTGCAGATCCAGGTTCCAGGCATGAATGTTGTCCCCGGCTTGAGAGAACACTTGCTCACTGGGCACACTGATTAGGGGGCAAGACAGCAATCCCACTGCCGTTTTGGCCAAGCTTCTCAAAATCAGCTCCTTCTCAGCCCAGTAAGACAAAGAATTGGTCTCTCTTTTGGCTTGTAGGGCTCCTGCATGTATGCCTCTGCCTCTGCCATGTCCTACCTTTGAGATGGTGTCACCAGAGGACAGGCCCCTGCTATGCTTGCCCTATTGTTTCATGGGTGAGGGATTTGGACTCGAAAATACAAACTGTTGGCACTGCTGTTTGGGGTGCTATGAACATTCCTAGTCTCTTCCTGCTGTGTGTGTGGCCTCTTGTTTGCAGCATAAGCTTTCCCATCAAGCTGTGGCCTCTTTCCTTGGGGGTCCGGAGGAAAGGAACTAAAATGGTAGGCAATGAAAATAATTCTTCTGAAAAGAAAGTAAAGAAAATGGTTATAATTAATCTGGAAAAGAATAAGACTGGGATGGTCTTCCAGCATTTCAAATACCTAAATACCTATTATATATAGAAAGTCAACAACATGTGTTCTGTTGCCCCAGATTGCAGGCCTTAATGTAGGACCATCTGAAACAGCATGCATGGTGATACTGGGGATTGCAAGAGAAAGGAAAACAGGGAGGAATCCCCTTCCTTTGCCATTTCTTTACCAAAATGCCTTGTAGGATTTGTGTCACTTCCATGAATGGAAGGAAACCTTCCATTCATAGAAGAGCAGCTTTGGATTGATCGCATCCCTTCATCGTAGCTTCACTTTATTTATATATTAAAGTTATATTCAAACTACAGGCAAGATAGAAAGAGGCGTTTATGTTAAGCATTTTATATTTTGAAGTAACTGAAGGAAGTGCAACATGATACTCTTGTAGGTTCTATCCCTGACATAGCCCCATCGGTTTATATGAAGAAACATAGGATTGCATAACTAGCAAAAACACCAGTCTATACATTGTGCAGTTCTATTATCTCCATTCTTATTTACATAATGACTGAGAGGAATTTGGGATTCTTTTGACAGGAGGGGATCCCGTTATGATTTGGCAACTATAATCCAGCTTCTTCTGGAAACCCCATACATGTAACTTACAGGTTGCATGCTTTATACTTAAATTAAATTGTTAGTAAAAGTATCAAAATGTTGTACTATTGTATATTGATTTTTAAGAAAGATGTTGTAATTGCTTCTTCATAGAATGATTATGATCAGTATGTGCACAAATCAGTCAACTCAGATCATCATTTTACAGGATAGCTTAACTGAAAAAAGAAGTCCAGTTTTAAAGGATACCACTTCATGTGAGCAACCTGTTCAAGAAGCTGCATGTGTGCCTAAGAAATCAACTCGGAAAAGAAGAAAGCTTACAGTAAATCATCTTTCCAGTTGCCAGCAATTACTTGAAGGGCTGAATAAGCAGATCAACAGTTGTGAAGCTAAAGCAAGAGCATCAGCTGAAGTGTTTGAGTATGTTATCCTATAAATGGAGCTGTGGTGTTTAGCTATATTAAAGTTAACATACAGTATATTTTACATAACTTAGGGATAATAACGGTGCCATTCATATTTAAAATTTGTTTGAGACTAAATTCACAGACCAGATGCTCTCTGTGTTTGGTCAGTCATGTGGTAGGTTTTCCCCCTGGTGGACTGCCCTTTATGCCATTGTTTGCGTGACTGGTCATAGTTTGCATCCATTGAATGTCCTGGTATGCAACAGAGAACCTGCTGTGGAGTGTGTGGAATGCTTGTGTGATTGCCCATCCATGATCACTGGCTTCTGGCCAGTTTTTTATACCCTCTGCCATACCAAATAAGTGGGTTTACATTTTGAAATGTATGTGGACATTGTCTTAAGTTATATGGAAGAATGCATTTGGTTATTTCAAATCTTTTATCTATCAGCACCTCTGACACTAAAGATGAAAAAGAGGAATGCTTACAGCTAGGAGCAAGCTCATGCCGATCCTCATCTTCAGATATTAACACCAAAGTTGGGCAAGTGAGGAAAAGCCGGAGAATTGCCAAGAAAAGTAAGAAGTAGTATTTTAGTAAATTGTTAATAGCCAGAGGGTAGAATGGTTTTTTAAAAGTAGGCCACTGTTCTGAAGCATATTAGTTTACAGTACTATTTGCAATCTTTAACTGAAAACTTTTCATCAGTTCCTTTAAGTTCTTAGTTTTGTTTGCGGAAATAGTTCTAGCAGAAGCGGTGATTCATACACAACACAAGGAAAGGTCTACTTTTCAAAAAGCAGTCATGCCAGTAGAGAGCATTGACTCATCTAGATTACAGTGGTGCTGTTGCCTCATCAATGGCCAGATATTGGAGAAGATCAGTCTACATCCCAAAGAAGGTCAGTGCCAAAGAATGCTCCAGCTACCGTACAATTGCAATCATTTCACACGGTAGCAAGTTTATGCTCAAAATCCTACAAGGTAGGCTTCAGCAGTATGTGGACCAAGAACTTAAGATTGCTGGAAGAAATATCAAGAACCTCAGATATGCAGATGATACCACTCTGATGGCAGAAAGTGGGGAGGACTTAAAGAA